GCTCCTCTCTGACTTTCCCTCTCATCCCCTCCCCCTAAAAATCAATGGAAAAATACCCTCTGCTGAGGATTCACAACAGACCTCTATCCCTATACAATATTACTAACACAATCTGATTCTCAGAACAAATCACTTCCATCATGAGCTTTTACTATGAGATATGCAAATAATAAAGTGCAAAGGGCTTTGTTTGCCAACATGGCCAACGTGGGAATTTAACCTACACAACTTCAATAACCTTCCCTGGTTTGTGTCAAGCAGTCCTGCTTGTCCTCATTTCAGAGACTTGAAATTCCAAATCTTTTTCCAAACGGAATATCTGCGTTACAAAGCGTTGTCTTAAGCTGAATACCTGCAATTCAGTCTTCCAACGGGACAGACATAGTCACTATGATCTAGCAAAGTTTGGTCCGACCCACCAGATTCACGCGTTGCAGTAAGGACCATGGTATTACCTCTATTCTAGCAAACTGGCTTCATCCCTTTTACTTGGTGAAATAGCCCTTTTATTATTATTATTATTATTATTATTATTATTATTATTATTTGCTTTCTAGAAGCCACTAAGTTTGTTTTCTCTATAAAGCAGACCCTTCTGTGAATGGACGTTTTCTTTTGTCGTTTTAAGCAGAATCAGTAAGAAAAGATGTCGGGGGGCTCAAGTGCTGTAGCCTCTTTCAGCAGGCTATGAATGAACAGGCTGCTCGCCGCTACAAATCACTCTCTCTCCTCCGAGTTTCGAGAGGTGTGCGACCCTGGAGCCCATCCGCAATCCTGGAGCCCGTCCGCCGGGGTTCTCTGCTCCTCCGATCACAGCGGCGCCAACAGACATCGCGGCACATCCTGACCTTTCCGTCTCCCCGGGAGCGGGGCTCGCTTCTTTCCAAAGCACAATCCCCTGCCAACAACATGCCGGACCCAGCGCGTGCCCTCCGTCGCCCGGGGCTGACGGTTAAGAGCCGGACAGTATCCCCGAGTTCCCAACAGAAACTCCGTCCGCCGCCGCCTGCTCCCCGGGCTTCCGCCCTGCCCCGCCGGGACGCCGGGTCTGCAGCCCGGCCGGTTTGAAAAATGGACTTTGACCCGATCCGGTTCCCGTAACCGGATCCCCAGGGACCGGTCCCAGGCGGGGACGCTCCGGGGGCTCCCCGGGGAGGCAGCGCCAGGCGCGGGCACAAAGGGCCGGGAAGCACCCAGACAAAAGGGCCCCGCCAAGCCGCCCGGGGCGGAGGGCGAGCCGGCGCGGGAGCTCCGCGGGCGGGAAGGTCCCGCCGGCCGTGGTGGGAGGGCGCAGGGGGAGGAGGGCGCAGGGGGAGGCGGCCGCCCCGGCCCGTCCCGTCCGCCGCCCGCAGCCACCGCGGCCCGAGCCGTTTCCCTCCCCCCGGGCTGCGACCCCCCGGCGGAACCAAGAACGCGACCCCAGCCTGAGGAGCGGCCGCAGCCGGACCCGGGCACTTCCCGCTCCCTTTTCCTCGCTTGTGGAACTCACCGGGGTCGCCGCCGCCGCCTCCTCAGCCTCCACAGAAGTTTCCCCCGGAAATCCTACTTGGCCCACCGGCCGCCAGCGGCAGCCAGAGCCTTCGGCCCCCGGGCGGGGGGACAGGGAGCGGGCCGGACAGTGAGGGGCAGGAAGTGTCGCCGCGGGGGCTCACGGGACTTGTAGTCCCCCGTCCCGGCCAGCTCTGGTGGGGCCGACAAAATGGCGGAAACGGCTCGCTGTTTGCTCCCCGGGCGGTCGCCCCACGCGGCTGCCCCACACGGCCTCTCCGGGCATGCGCCGCCCACGGGAGCCCCGCGCGGAGGAGAGTTTGGGCACTTTTCCTGGCATTGAGGGGGACAAAGGTCTGTGGACTTGGAAGGGCAGAGTCCACTATACCGAGCTCCAGGCAGTGCCTAAGGTGGCAGCTGATGTAAGGGTTCTGTTTTAGAAAACTGCGGCCTGATGTCAAGTATAATCTCCCCAAAAGAAACACACACACACACACACACACACACACACACACAAAACTATTCACGGCCAATTTGAAGTGCAATAAATTTAGAAGCAAGTTCCCTCAGTTTTGTGCATAAGGAAGAAACTCGTTCTTAATGTCTTCAGCCCGTTAAATCCAGTTATTCTACATTGCAAATACCTCAGTTCCTTTCCATTTTCTCCACTGCCATCACTTGGAGGAAGTCACCAACATCTCTCTCCAAAACCCACTAGTGTCAGGCCTCCAGGGGAAGCAAGGTAGGGAAAACTGTTATTGGACTAGGGGATAGCTAACAAAGTTGTGTGCTCCCTCCTCTCTCTCTCTCTCTCTCTCTCTCTCTCCTCTTTCATTCATTATGAAGCATGGTGGTCCTTCCTTTGGAAAACTGCTGTTTGAACTACTCTGTTATTCTTAAAAAGTCTCTTATTCTGGAGGTCAACTCTTATTTTTAGATAGTCCCTTATTCTGAAAAGTAACTTCGTTTTTTAGTTTAGCTTAATTAATAGAAAAGATAAACCTAACTGTCTGACCTTGCAAGCTAGCCATCTAACGTAAAGGGCGGATACGCTGATACTGATAATACTCCCATGCCGAGTGTCTGTATAAATATGATATGTATTCAAGGTTACAGGTGTTTGTTAGATATGATATGTACTCAATGTTACAAATTGTCTATAAACATAATTTACACAAGGACCTAAATTCTGAACTCCTTTGGGTGTTCAGAATTTGACAGAGGTAACCTGCTCTGAACCTGTGCGCAATAAAGATGACTTCTAACTGATTGGCTCATTAAGGCATTTTGTCCAGCTCGCTGATTTGCGGATACAAGAATTGATTTTATACAAAGAGAAGAAAGGAGAGAAAAAACAAAACATCGATTAGTTGTTCCACTTATTTACGCATTGATTGCTTGCTTCTTATATGTGCCCTGACCAGAAATCAAACCCGAAATGTTGGGTGATCAGGAGGATGCTCTAACCAGCTGATCTATGTAGCCAGGGTCCGTGTGCTCTCTTGAAGGTGGTTATGCTTCCCAGGATCTGAAAAAGAGGCATTTCCGAAGTGTGTTAATCTTGATGCACAAAAACCATGGCCAGGACTTGCTGGATGCAAAGATAACCTTTTACTGGGGAAGTGATAGGCTTGAGGGTGACTACCCTTCATGACCTGCCCAGTTAGGAATTTATGATCAGATCATCCTGTGAGGTTACTATCAGATTTTTAAAAAATATATTTTATTGATTTTCCACAGAGAGGAAGGTAGAGGGACAGAGAGTCAGAAACATCAATCAGCTGCCTCCTGCACATCTCCCTCTGGGGATGTGCCTGCAACCAAGGTACATGCCCTTGACTGGAATTGAACCCGGGACCTTTCAGTCCACAGGCTGATGCTCTATCCACCGAGCCAAACCGGTTTCAGCTACTATCAGATTTATTACAGAGCCCTTTTTTCATTCACGTGGAAATACTCAGTTTCTGGAAACTCATCAGTGGGATATAAATATTTTTGTATACTTATCTATACTTTTCTGCATGTATCTTATACTCCCAATATAACTTATTGAATGGAAAGAGGCCTGGACCAGGCCTCTCTTGTCTTCTAGGAGGCCAATTCACAGTAAAGACTATTTCTAATCATTATTATTTCTGGATTTAGGGCTTATGGGCACTGTTGGAGCATAATGTAAAGAGCTGAGGCTTTGGCAACAAACCTGTTCTGCTGCTTCCTATCTGTGTGTCCTTGGCTAAGTTATTTAAACCCGTTGGGATTCAGTTTTCTCCTTGTACAATAGCAGACATAACAGTACCTGATATATAGGGTGGTGTGAGAATTAAATAAAGTTAATGCACATAAAGTGGCCAACACTATACCTGGTACACGTTAAAAGCTCAATAAATAATAACTGACTTATGGCGGGTAACATTAGTTTTCACCTTTTTTTGTTTAAGCTTCCAAGTTTTCAACAATGAACATAGGCACAGACTATAGGAATATGGATATTCATTGTAGCACTATTTGCAGATAATAATAATAATAATAATAATAATGTCCTAGCCAGTTTGGCTCAGTACATAGAGTGTTGGCCTGCGGACTGAAGGGTCCTGGGTTCCATTCCAGCCAAGGGCACATACCTCTGTTGCAGGCTCCAGAACAAGAGTGTAGGAGGCAATAAATCGATGTTTCTCTCATATCGATATTTCTCTCTGTTCTTTCCTCTCTCTTCCACTCTTTCTAAAAATCAAAGGAAAAATACCCTTGGGTGGCAATTAAAAAAAAAAATGTTGAAAAACAAACAGATAAAAAAATAAAATAACCTTAAAAATAATAATAAAGTCAGTCTACTGGAGATTGGGCAAATCAACTGTGATATATGCATACTAATAAAAAGGTAATATGCTAATTAAACTGGATAGACTAGACGTCTTCCGGGCATTATTATGGACATCCTTCCGAACAAAGCTGGGGCCAGGGCAGCGTCACCCGGGGTCCCAGGTGCCTGGGGCTGGCCAGAGGGAGGGAAGCTCGGTCCCGGCCAGAGGAGGAAAGCCTGGGTCCCTGGTGTGGGGGCCAGAGGTGTTTAGGAGTGACCAGGCGGGCAGGCAAGCAGTTAGGGGCCATCAGGCAGGCAGAGTGGTTAGGGGCAAGCAGGCAGGCAGGCAGTTAGGGGCCATCAGGCAGGCAGAGTGGTTAGGGGCAAGCAGGCAGGCAGGCAGGTGAGTGGTTAAGAGCCAGCGATCCGGATTGGAAGAGGGATGTCCGTCTGCCGATTTAGGCCTGATCCAGCAGTGGTCCCGGATTGTGAGAGGGTGCAGGCCAGGTTAAGGCCTCCCCCCCATGCAGAATTTTGTGCACTAGGCCTCTAGTTCATAATATAAAATACCACTACACAGTTAAAGTGAATAAACCAAAGCTACAGATATCCACATGGATAAAACAAAATGTTAGGAAAAGACAGCTTGATACTATGTATATAACATTTTTAAATATGACAGACGACCCTGTATACTATTTAAGGATTCATACATGCATAGGAACGCTTCATGAATTTGCGTGTCATCTTTGCACAGGGGCCATGGTAATCATCTCTGTATCATTCTAATTTTAGAATATGTGCTAATGAAGCGAACACCATCCATACACAGGACAATGCAATTCTGAGGAGAGAGGAACAGGAACGGGTGAAAAAAGGGATACATTGGGGCTTAAAACATATCTCTGGCCGGGACCGGTTTGGCTCAGTAGATAGAGCATCGGTCTGCAGACTGAAAGGTCCTGGGTTCAATTCCGGGCAAGGACATGTACCTTGGTTGCGGGCACATCCCCAGGAGGGGGTGTGCAAGAGGCAGCTGATCGATGATTCTCTCTCATGGATGTTTCTAGCTCTCTATCCCTCTCTCTTCCTCTCTGTGAAAAATCAATAAAATATATATTTTTAAAAACATATCTCTGATATTTTATTTCTTCAAAATGTTTGTAAGAAAATAAGGCAAAATATGAAGATTTGATAACATTGGTGAAAGGTGCTTACGTGTTTGTTATAAAAACAACTGTTTTTCTATATGATTGAAATAGTTCTCCATTTTAAAAAAAGAATGGAGCAGAACAATGTACAAATATGCTATCTTTTTTTTAAAATAAGGAAAAATGGTAATGTATTTATATCAACCACATCTGTTATGCCAACTGGAAATCAGTGGCTTTCACAATAGTAGCAGCGGTGTTGGAGGGGGAGTATAGGGTTTTTGTTTTTAAGCAAATGTTTTTTTACACACAGTGAATTTCATTCTTTTTGGTGTTCAGTTCTATGAGTTAAATGCATACACTTGTGTAACTACCACCATTATAATTTAAATTATCCTTTTACTCCAAATACTCCTTCATGCTATCTTTTATAGTCAAACTCTCTCCCAACCATGGCATGCACTGATCTATTTTCTGTTCCTGTAGTTTGTTTTTTTCCAGAAAGTCATACAAATGGAATAAAAAAGTATAGCTTGCCAAAACCGGTTTGGCTCAGTGGATAGAGTGTCAGCCTGCGGACTGAAAGGTCCCAAGTTCGATTCCAGTCAAGGGCATGTACATTGGTTGTGGGCACATCCCCAATAGAGGGTGTGCAGGAGGCAGCTGGTCGATGTTTCTTTCTAATTGATGTTTCTAGCTCTCTATACCTCTCCCTTCCTCACTGTTAAAAAATCAATAAAAATATATATATATTAAAAATATATAGCTTTTTGAATCTAACTACTTTCACTTAGAATAATGCATTTGAAATTCATCCACGTTGCATGTATCAATAGTTTGTTCCTTTTTACTGCACATCCATTCGTTGTGTGGATGTATCATAATTTGTTCCTTCATTCACTAGTTTAGGACATTGGGATTGTTTATAGTTTTCGTTGACTGTGAATGAAGCTATTATGAATATTTGTGTACAGGTTTTTGTATAAACATAAGTTTTTATTTCTCTTAGATAAACACTTAGGAGTAGAATTGCTGAGTTGTTTGGTAAATGTATATGTAATTATATATTTAAAAACCCAAACTCTTTCCAAAATGGCTACACCATTTAGAATTTTCATAGCAAGAATGAAAGCTCTACTTGCTCTATGTGCTTATCAGCATTTGATATTGTCATGTTTTGAAAGAATTGTTGTTTTTAGCCATTCCAATATGTATGTAGTGGTACCTTCATAAAGCCAACATTTCCTTACTAACTTAAGGATATTCAGCCTCTTTTCATGTGCTGATTTGCCATCTTTTTTTTTTTTTTTAATACATTTTACTGATTTTTTAAAGAGAGGAAGAGAGAGGGATAGAGAGCTAGAAACATTGATGAGAGAGAACCATCGATCAGCTGCCTCTTGCACACCCCCTACTGGGGATGTGCCCGCAACCAAGGTACATGCCCTTGACCGGAATCGAACCCAGGACCTTTCAGTCTGCAGGCCGACGCTCTATCCACTGAGTCAAACCAGTTTCGGCTGATTTGCCATCTTCATGTCTTCTTTAGTGAAGTATCTGTATTAGTCTTGTGCCCATTCATTTACAGGCTTGTTTCTTATTATTAATGAGTTGTGAGAATTATTTTTTTATTCTAGATATGAGGCCTTTATTAGATACTAGAGGCCTGGTGCACAAAATTCATGCACAGCCTAACCTGTGCCCTCTCCCAGTCTGGGAGCCCTAACTCCCCACATGGGCCTAAGCCGTTAGCCGGATATCCTTAGCGCTGCCTCGCAGGCAAGAGAGGTTCTTGCCACTGCCATTGCGCCCGCCAGCTGTGAGCCCGGCTTCTGGCAGAGCGGCACTGCCCTGTGGGAGCCCACTGACCACTGGAGGCAGCAATTGCATTGAGTGTCTGCCCCCTAGTGGTCAGTGCGCATCATAGCGACTGGTTTCGCTGATCAATTGATTTCCATATTAGTCTTTTATTATATAGGATGTGATTTGCAGATGTTTTCTCCTGGTCTGTGGTTTGTTGTAGCATCTTTCACAGAGCAGAGTTTTAAATTTTAATTAAGTTCGCCAAAACCGGTTTGGCTCAGTGGATACAGCGTCGGCCTGTGGACTGAAAGGTCCCACGTTCGATCCCAGTCAAGGGCATGTACATTGGTTGCGGGCACATCCCCAATAGGGGGTGTGCAAGAGGCGGCTGATTGATGTTTCTCTCTCTTTGATGTTTCTGACCTTCTATCCCTCTCCCTTCCTCTCTGTAAAAAATCAATAAAATATATATTTTTTAAATTTTTAATTAAATTCAATTTGTCTTTTTTCTCTTGTGAATCATGTTTTAACTAAGAAATCTTTGCTTAACTCAAGATCACAAAAATTTCCTCCTATCTTTTTTTTTTACTAATTGTTTTATAACCACAACAAATGAGTACAGAAAATGCCCTGTACAAACAACTCAATAAATGCCCTGGCTGGTGTGGCTCAGTTGTTCCATGCACCAAGAGGTCACCGGTTCAATTCCATGAGTTAGGGCACTTTCTGTTGCCTCCGTGTGAGAGAGAAACATCAATCAATTGCCTCCCATACGCAAACCCACAACTTGGTGCACAGGACAATGCCTAACCAACTGAACCACATTTGCCAGGGTTTACAGAGTTTGTAACATACTGGAGAAGTTTGGCTTGCTAAAAATAATAGGTTACTCACATTTTTCATTTTCTTTTGAAACCTCCATTTTGACAACACGCTAGCTCAGTGGTCGGCAAACTCATTAGTCAACAGAGCCAAATATCAACAGTACAACGATTGAAATTTCTTTTGAGAGCCAAATTTTTTAAACTTAAACTTCTTCTAATGCCACTTCTTCAAAATAGACTCGCCCAGGCCGTGGTATTTTGTGGAAGAGCCACACTCAAGGGGCCAAAGAGCCACACATGTGGCTTGCGAGCCACAATTTGCAGACCATGGCCTTAGCTGAGCTACATTTGGATAAATCATAATTCTGTCTGTACCTCAGTTTGCCACTCAAAAGATTATGTGAACATTCTGTTAAGATGCTTTGGACCCAACTGGTGTTGCTCAGTGCTTGAGGGTCAGCCCATGAACCAGGAGGTCACAGTTCTGTCCAGGTCAGGGCACACGCCTGGACTGTGGGCTCAATCTCCAGTAGGGGCATGCAGGAGGCATCCAATTGATGTTTCCCTGTCCCTCTCTCTCTAAAATCAATAAAAAACACTTAAAAAAAAAAAAAAAACAACTAACACAATAAAAGATTCAAGATCAAGGTGTTCCTTTAGGCAAGGCTAAAGATTTCAGTCTCTGGAATTTAGAATTCAGGCTGCAATCTTGTTTTTGGGTGGGTCACTGGGTGTGTGGGTACTATCCATGCTTTTAATCAGATATACACAGAAGAATGGCCACTGGCCCAGACAGAAGTAGATGAAGTGTTTGTGTCACGTAACTACCCAAGTGCCTTCCCACAATGCAGTGCCAGGTGGGGTTGTACTTCTGGTCAGATTCCTTCCTAACATGGGCCACAATGCCCTCTCTGTGTTGTACTTCAGTGCTTGAGTAGCACATTCCACGGAGTCCTGTTGCACCTCCTCCTACATATCAGCATTTTTGATCACTGCCTTTCGGTCACACATGGTCACAGTGGAGCAGGGCTGGCTGACTGCAACAGTCTCCTGAGGGAGGGGGCAGGCCTGGCTCAGATCCCGAGAAGCTTTCCCCTATATTTTCTTTTCTTTTCCTTTTAATAGAGGGATAGATTGTTAGAAACACCGATGAGAGAGAAACATCAATTAGCTGCCTCTTGCACACCCCCTACTGGAGATGTGCCCACAACCAAGGTACATGCCCTTGACGGGAATCGAACCTGGGACCTTTCAGTCCGCAGGCCGACGCTCCATCCACTGAGCCAAACCGGTTTGGGCTATATTTTCTTATAGAGGCTTAGTTTTAGGCTATCGCTTATTTCTTTATGATTTCTGCATATACTTTTATATTTGTGGTCTATGCCCAGAAGGATCCACACACAAGCTTTCCTCTGGGGTGGGAAAATTGTGTGACATGGGGTAAGCATGATATAGAGACTAGCTTAGCACTGTGGGCACTTTTGGGCTCTTGAATTTTTCCTTAAATGTGTATCTTACGGTACCTTAAAAACAACAGCAAACTAGGGAATTTTTTTTTTAAAGCTAAAAGCTCAATAAGTGTTGGGGGACTACTGAAACACGCTTCCAGCCAGTGTAGTTGAAAATTATCAGGATGATTATTGGACTGGAAAGCTTCACCATAGTTTCCAGTCCTCTGAGCTCTCTTCTGTCACAGCTAGCAGTTTGTACTGGGCTAAGAACCAAGTGCAATTAACTGGTAAATAATTAGTCGGGCCAATCAGAGAACAACATGCAAATGAGTGGATCTGACTGCTGTAAAGCTTCGTGGGGATAGCTGAACATGGCAGAGTTTAGAGACGTGGGGTTGCTGCCACCCGCAGGCCGCATCCCTCAATAACAAGTTCATGGAAATAGCTGAGGGAAGGGGCAGCATTCCTCTCAGAACCGAGTCCTCTGGGGGACTCTGGATTGGAGGAAGAGTGATTTATAAAAATTTCTCTTTTCCCCTTCAGCTCAAATCCACATTGGTCAGAAGGGTTCCTAAGAGTGGCAACTGAGGCATCAGATCATCGAGGTTTGAATGCTGTTCTTACCTTGGGTAAATCAGATAACCTATTCTATACCTGATCCTAACCTATAAAATGAGGATGAAAGCAGTAGCTGCTGGTATGTTGGGAAGATTGAATCAGATCATGTAAAGTGTGGAGCACAATGCCTGGCAGATGGTGAGCACACAAGACATAGCAGTTGTGCCAGAGCCGGTTTGGCTCAGTGGATAGAGCCTCAGCCTGCGGACCGAGAGGTCCTGGGTTCCATTCCGGTCAAGGGCATGTACCTTGGTTGTGGACACATCCCCAGTGGGGGTTGTGCAGGAGACAGCTGATCAATATTTCTCTCTCATCCATGTTTCTAGCTCTCTATCTCTCTCCCTTCCTCTCTGTAAAAAAATCAATAAAATATAATTTTTTTTTTTAAAAAAAAGAAAGAAATAGTAGTTGTTATTAGGCAGAACTTGAGAAAGCTTGGTCATTCTAAACGGAGAGACTGTACCTTTGATGCACAACAGTCCTTTGGAAAGGCCTTTAGCATCTAACTCCACCGCTTAAGGTTTGTAACTCGGAGCGAGAGTCTTAGCCTCTCTGAGCCTTCCCTCGCCTCAGGGGTGGTTTTGGATGTTACATGAAACCGTCCGTGTAAAGCACCCAGCACAGGGCCTGGCATGGAGTGGACAGGTAACAAGGGAGTGACGATTAACACAACAGTAGTTTCCAAATAGAGCCAAAGGTTGCAAACAGGCAGGCCACTGGCAGTGGCTAACCTACAGACATTTTGGTTCCGCTCTCAATATTCGCACATTTTAAATTACCTGCCATCATTAAAATAGAAATTTCACATTTAGGCCAGATTCTTAACTTCTCTTTTAAAATGTGAAGCTCTGCCCTGCCCGTGTGGCTCAGTTGGTTGAAGCGTTGTCCCATACACCAAACCGCCATGGGTTCAATTCCCCGTCAGGGCACATACCTACGTTTGGTCCCTGGTTAGTGCTATAGGCAACAGATATTTCTGATATTTCTCTCTCACATCAATGTTTCTCTCTCTCTCCCCCTTCCTCCTCCCCTCACTTTTCCCCTCTCTCTTTCTCTCCCTTTCTCTAAAACCAATGAACATATCCTTGCATGTTAGCATAACCAATGGACACAGAGACTAGGGTGGTGGGGGCTTGCCCAGTGTGGGAGTGGCTGGGGGATAGAGGGGTCAAGCAGGGGAAAAGGAGATATATGTAAAACTTTAGACAATAAATTTTAAAAAATGGAAAAAACAAAACAAAACACCATATCCTGGGGTGAGCTCTCTTTAAAAATAGAATAAAATGTGAAGCTCTGATAATGTACCACACCAGATCTGGAAGAAGGATGGCATATACTGTAACAGGGAAAACGAATTTCTGTCAAGGGAGCCAAGTAAGGCTCCCCAAAGAAGCTGAGACGTGAAGGTTGCGTAGGGGAAACAGAGCTGCAAGCAAAGGCCCTGAATCAGGAAGATCAGTGCCAGGGGGTCACTCCCTGTGGCTGGGTCACAGGGAGTGAGAACACGGCGGGAAGGGGATGTGGTTCCCGTCAGTCAGCACTTAAGGCTTATTTTGGACCAGCAGAAACCGGTTTGGCTCAGTGGATAGAGTGTTGGCCTGCAGATTGAAAGGTCCCAGGTTTGATTCTGGTCAAGGGCATGTACCTTGGTTTCTGGCACATGGGTTTGCAAGAGACAGCTGATCCGATGTTTCTAACTCTCTCTTCCTCTCTGTAAAAAATCAATTTTAAAAAAAGCCAAAACCGGTTTGGCTCAATGGATAGAGCGTTGGCTTGGGGACCCGATTCCGGTCAGGGGCATGTACCTTGGTTGTGGGCATATCCCCAGCGGAGAGTGTGCAGGAGACAGCTGATCGATGACTCTCTCTCATCGATGTTTCTATCTCTCTCCCTTCCTCTCTGTACAAAATCAATAAAATAAAAAAATCAATAAAAAAAATTTTTTTAAAGGATTTTGAACTTGATTGTGAGGACAAGTGTAGTTCAGGGCTGAAAGCTAGGAGATAGCCAATTGGTGCAAAAAAAAAAAAAAGGAGGGGCCAGATAGGATCAGAATGGAGAAGGGTCAGAAGTCAACAGTTAGCAGCTGAGAAAGCAGAGGAGTACTAGGCAGTATAGGATCTCGCTCTAGAAACTCTGGGCATACCCAGGAGAGCCTGTCAGGTGTGGTCTGGCAAAGGGCAGATTTTATTTTATTTTATTTTATTTTATTAAAAAAAGTACTTTTTATTGATTTCTGATAGAAGAAGGGAGAGGGAGAGAGATAGAAACATCAATGATGAGAGAGAATCATTGACCGGCTGCCTCCTGCACACCCCCTACTGGGCCCTGAGCCGACAACCTGAGCATGTGCCCTGACCGGGACTCAAACCGTAACCTCCTGGTTCATAGGTCGATGATCAACCACTGAGCAACACTGGCCAGGCCAAAAGGCAGACTTTCTCAGAACCAAGTTAAGTTGGACACCAGTGCGAATATTTTATGTCCATTTTAATAGTGGAAAGGTGAGAAGAATGAAGATTTGGCCAAGGATTATATGTAAAAAATGAGATAGAGAGCTAGATTCGCAATACCTACCTCTAATTTGTTGCTCCTCTAACTATATTAGTTTTCTCAAGGTGAGTAAACTCAGCACCAATACATGCTGTTCATAACAATCTGCACCTTCTATGGAGATCTTGCTAAGTTTAGCCTCTGTGTTTGTGTGCACTGTTACCTTATTATTTCACTCAGTTAATAGAGTTCACCCAATATACTATGCACCAAGGGACTGTTAGGCAGTGGGGACATAGGAATGAATGAAACAGTGGCCATTCCTGTCCCGTGGGAGTTCACAATCCAGAAAGGAAGTGAGTAATTATCAAGGGTAATTGGCAGGTACTATCGGGAAAGTGTATCAGCGAACCCAACCTACCATGGGCGGCAGGGAAGCTTTCTGAAAGAAGTGACTGCTCTCGCGATAACCTGTAAGGCAGATGCTGTGAATATACCCTTTTCATAGATGAGAAAACTGATGTTCTCAGAGATAAAGTAACTAACTAGGCAGAAGTAAGCCTAGATCTATATATACCTACACCAAAGCTCATTCTTTTCTTTCTTTCTTTTTTAAAAAAATATATTTTATTGATTTTTTACAGAGAGGAAGAGAGAGGGATAGAGAGTTAGAAACATCCATGAGAGAGAAACATCGATCAGCTGCCTCTTGCGCACCCCCCATTGGGGATGTGCTCGCAACCAAGGTACATGCCCTTGACCGGAATCGAACCCGGGACCTTTCAGTCCGCAGGGCGACGCTCTATCCACTGAGCCAAACCGGTTTCGGCGCTCATTCTTTTAGCTGCTAAGTTTTTTCTTAGCAGATATTTCCATTAGTTTGTCCTTCTCTTCGAAGGGTCATGTGAGTGGGAGGAACTATTACTCTAACAGATGTCTGCAACGCAGGAAGTTGAAATCATGGCTTACAAACTGTGCAAGCATGTCCGAGTCAGGGTTGCCTGTCGGTTTTGGAATGACAGCTATTTAGTGGTACAGCCCTTTTGCTAATGTTTGAAGAGGTGTTCAGTTCAATGGGAGATTACTCAACAGCTGTGCCTGCTGTGTATCAGGAATGGTGCTAAGCGCTGTCAGAGTTACAGTGATGATAAAACAAGTTGGTTCCTAAATCCTAGGCTAAAGATTGTCTTAATCGCTAACAGATAAAAAATATTTAAATAACAAAGCCATAATCCTGGCAGTTAGAAACTGTAGGTAACTTACTGTAATAGCTACCAGGTTTTGAGCATCAACCACGTGCCAAGCATTGCATGAGATAACTTAATGAAAATAAACATGATCATGATGATAATTAAAAACTAAAAGACACATACTGTAAGTCTGTGCTGAGCAGTTTACATTATTATTTGTTTTAACCCCATTTTCTTGATCCGTGTTCATTCTACAATGCTAATATCATAGTAGTAATGATTCTAATATTGCCCATTTCATAGATGAGAAAATTGAACTTCAGGGATTTTTGCCTGAGTTCCCAGAGCTAGTAAATAGAAGAGCGAGAATTCAAAGCCAGGTCTGTCTGACTCCAAAACTTGGGCTCTAGACCATTGCAACCACACTATATCTACAAGGAGAATTAGCTTGTAAAAACCAGGGGAATGTGGTATGATCTGTATAGGTACACATCTAGACAGAGAAACAAATACCAGTGTTTTTAAAACCCTCCAGGGAGCAAAGAAACAAGAGGGGAGGAGGACTCAACAATGGGTCTAGTAATTAGATACTACCGTGTTTCCCCGAAAATAAGACATCCTCCGAAAATAAGACCTAGTGAATGGAAAGATAAGACATCCCCTGAAAATAAGACCTAGCGCAACTTTGGGAGAAAAAATTAATATAAGACACTGTCTTATTTTCAGGGAAACAGGGTAGTTAAGTCTTTTTAATATATATATATATATATATATTTGATTTTTTACAGAGAGGAAGGGAGAGAGATAGAGAGTTAGAAACATCGATGTGAGAGAAACATAGATCAGCTGCCTCCTGTACACCCCCTACTGGGGATGTGCCCACAACCAAGGTACATGCCCTTGACCGGAATCGAACCCAGGACCTTTCAGTCCACAGGCTGACGCTATATCCACTGAGCCAAACCAGTTTCGGTTCTAGTTAAGTCTTAAAACAGAGTGTCTACTCAAAATATTTATACTATTTATATCACTCAATTCTGCTTAAATTGCCTCCTGAATTATCTTTAAATTTAATTCATAATGAAAGCTCGAAATTTTCTGTATTAAGATACACTTCCTGCCCTAGATGGTTTTGCTCAATGGATAGAGCATCAGCCTGCAGACTGAAGGCTCCCTGGTTCAATTGCAGTGAAGGGCATGTGCCCAGGTTTCTGCCTCCATGCCTAGTAGGGAGCGTGTAGGAGGTAGCCAATCAAAGATTCTCTCTCATCATTGTTGTTTCTATCTTTCTCTCCCTCTCTGAAATCAATAAAAAAATATTTTTTAAAAAAAGAGATACACTTCCTTCTGTTATTTATTTATTAAAATTGTAATATTCAAGACATGTTTTTATTGATTTTAGAGAAAGGACAGGAGAGGGAGAGAGAGAGAGAAAGAGAAACACTGATGTGAGAAAGAAACATCCATCAACTGCCTCCCATAAGCGCCCCAACCCAGGATCAAACTAGCAACCTAGTTATGTGTCCTGACTGGGAATTGAACCCACAACCTTTTGGGGCACGGGGTGATGCTCCAACCAACTGAGCCACCCAGCCAAAGCTAGATACACTTCCTTTAATTCTTGTTTCGTGTCTATGTGGAAAAGAAAAGAAACTACTATATAATAAAAGTCAATGTCAACACAGATAATAATTTAATTTAAAAAAAAGTAAAAAAAAAAAAAAAAAGTCAATGTAAAGCAAATAAGTGACCCTATTGAGGATGGGCTGCAGGCTGTGCTTAGTGAACAGGGAAGAAAAAGTTCCCTGAAGGAAGCAGCCATCAGCCACGGGCCAAAGGCACAACCTGTCACCGCGATTACTTGTGGCTGTGGGCAGGGAGGTACGCAGCCCCATCCAGATACTCAGATTGGCCAGACGTGAAGTCTGTGTAGCTAAGGAAATGCCCAGAATTTGTCTCTGTAACAGATGGACCAGGAAGATCACTGTTGGTTCAAACATGTGATGTGTGCATTTTCACCTGTTTATTTATCCTCTGTCTCAACATAAAAATGCAAGAAAAGGCCCTACTGGTGTGAGTCAGTGGTTGAGCGAACACCTACGAACCAGGAAGTTGAGGTTCGTTTCCTGGTGAGGGCACGTGCCCGGATGGTGGCAATCCCCAGTGGGGGGAATGCAGGAGGTAACTGATCAATGATTTTCTCTGATCATTGATGTTGTTTTTTAATCCTCACCTGAGGACATTTTTCCACTAATTTTTAGAGAGAGTGGAAGAGAGGGAAAGACAGAGAAATATTGATGTGAAAGAAACACATCGTTTGGTTGACTCCTGCACGGGCCCTGGTTAGGCCTGTAACTGAGGTAGGTGCCCTTGACCGGAATCGAGCCCGGGACCCTTAGGTCTGTAGGCTGATGTTCTTGTCCACTGAACCAAACTGGTTAGGGCTCATCATTGATGTTTCTATCTCTGTCTCCCTCTCCCTTCCTCCCTTAAATCAATAAAAATGTATTAAAAATATATATATATTTTTAATTTTTTAAAAGCTAAAAGCCATGAAATCCACTTAGATTAAAAAAAAAAAATAACCATAAACCTACCTCTGTAATACAACCACTATCATTATGGTGTGTTTTGCTTATCT